GTGGCGTGTGGATTGCATAAAAATCTGATAATAATAATAATCACCGTTTTAAAGTTTATTATGGATCTGATAATTTATTTATACAACAAAAAAATTTTTTAAGTTTTAAAAAAGAGATTTTATAGACGATACTTTTTTGTAATGTAGCACCAAGAATCTGATAATTATTATTGCATTAAATAAAGCAAATCACAATTATCAGATTATTGGATTATTGATTTTATCAGATTAAAATTCACTCTCGCAAATTCATTCCATTAATAACAATATTAATCATCCCATCCAACCAAGTATTAACAAATGAGAAAAGATTTCAATTCGGTTGTTTCGTATTACATTAGATATTAAATTTTGATTCTTGATTATATATATATAATGCGTTAAATATTTTCATTTATTTTTTTAAAAAAATTTTATTTTCTTACGATATATCATAACAAATGATGTAAGTATTTATTTTTTGCGGGATTTCTTTTATTCTTTTAAATAATTAAATTTTTTTTTTAATAAACTTTAGGGAGAAACACACATTCTTTTTTTGAAAATTAAAACCACAATTTCCGTCAACCTTCACCATCATATCATTAATTCGTAAGTTTTTGTAATTTTAATTCTTTAGGAATAAATAATAAATATTAATATTTAATTCATATAATTTATAGAATCCTCTTCTCTTCTTTGAGATATCTCTTTCTTCTTCGAGATGACTCTTTTCTTGATGACTTTATATAAATTATAATCAATTAATTAATTAATCAATCAATTAACAAAAAATTTCCCCACTCTTGTATAAGAAATTATGTTTATTCTAATATGTTATTTATATTTTTAATCTATTCCTATATTATGGCTAGTTAATATGATCTTTTTTTAAGCAAATTAAAATAAATAAGCATTTTTACATGACAAAAAAAAAATTTATTAAAAACTTACAATGACATATAAATGATGTGATATTTTCTTTGTAAATATTCATTCCTCTTACAACTGTTAAACATGTTAAGTCAAACAGATATCAAAAAAAAAATTTATATAAAAGAAACTTGTACAAATCTTATGAAAAAGTAACCAAGAAGACAATGAAAGAAGAAAACAAATTGAAGAAGTGTGAGAACTACTACGTTCAGCCAGCATTGACAAATGAATGCTATTTTATCATAGATTTTTGATGAAAAATGGCAAATGACTATGTAATTTTCAATTCTTTAATGAATCTTGGGCAGAGTAGGAATCTGGAAGAAATATCACGGTGATAAAATTGCTTCTTTTTCAGAAGAAAATGGCTTATTAAATGATGGATATATAAAAAATTCGCATTCATCTAATCATTTATATTATATTTCGTGATTGGCATCATAATAAAATGTTCAACAAAGTCAGAACGAACAAACAAGATGGTTGAGAAATATTCATGAAGCTTTAGCTGGGTCGGCTAAAGAAGTTTTCAAAAGAACTTATTCAGATCACATCTATTGTCCCAAGGTTTATTTGCTCAAAACTAAAAAAGGTTATGTTTTCTCACTTATTTTTACCCATCAATCCACCCAAGACAATATTACATACATGTTCTGTGCAGAGTTTGGTGAAATTAATGTATTGAATTTAACACATACAAATAAACCATTTAGGAATATTTTTACAATAAGTATTCTATAAACAAATCATTTCTCTATTATTTTATTATTTATAATTACATATTTAACAAAAGATAAAAAAAAATAATAATAATAGAAATAAATGTTCTATTTAATATGAAATATTCTATGTGTGTGCACATATACACATTTTTATACTTCTTTACTAATCTATACACCTCACATCCTTCTAATAAATGAACCTCTTTGTTATTATTTTTAAGATTAAAATCATCTTCATAAACAGTCCAATGATAGTAATAACAATAAGGTTCATTATTAATGCTATAATCTATGAGAACTTGGTGATTTTACTAATTTGACTAGTATGAGTTATTGCATATTTGATATCTTCAACTCTGCCAAATATTAAACTAGTAATTTGATTTTCAAAATAAAACTTTCATTTGTTTCAATATAGTAAAAATCATTTGGTGACCTTTTTTTTAAGTTCCAACAAACTGGATTGTAACCACCAACCAATTTCCCTGTATCCATATCATAATATTTGTAAATTCATCTCAACTCCCACTTCAAATTCATAAGGGAAATTGTTTCTATTGTATCATATTCATGGAAAAAATCATGGAATGATTACAGAGGAAAGATCGTAGAAATTTTCAAGAGTATTTCTGGAATTAAAATTCAAATAACGGACTATTTTTTTATAAGGCTATAATGCTGAAGAAATTCTTTAAACGCATTTCGTGAAAAACGGCTTCATAAGGTTTGATTTTATAATAAAAATCATTTGTTGATATATTATTAAACCTTATTATTGGGATAATATCTTTTAAATATTTTTACTTCAAATTATTTTTATTCCATTTTTTTAGTTTCTTCAATATTTTCTTTTTTAAATTGACCAATTTCCCATAATCCCAAATCTCAATCTCATCCAAATTCAAATCATTTCTTTTAATATAGATATAAGTATTGATTTTTCAATTGTTGTGACTTCATCAGACTGCAAAGATAACTCTGGTTATATATATAACATCAATAACAATTTTTTTTTACTCAAAGTTCTTTTCATATACTTCGTATGTAGTATGGTTTAGATAATTCGATTAGAGAGCCTTCTAGGAATCAGCAAAAGCGGAAAACATCTAGTTTAACTTTTCTCAAAATAGACAAAGAAATACATGGTAATGGTGTAATTATAATAATACAATATAATGTTATTTAATATACTTTCTTCTTATTCATTATTCTAATTAATGCATTTCTAATAGAAGGATTCGTCTCCAATTGAAATGATTCATTTGTATGTTAAGTAAGTTCAATGACTTATTACATTGCACACTGCATTAAGATTAATTTTTCATATTTAATATTAACTATTAATTATTTGATCTTACTCTTTAATCTTGTTCCTGTATTTTTAATGATTCTCTGATCCTTTTTTAAAGCACAAAATCCATGTAAATATATGCAAATTTATCCCGCTAATCCGAAGAAAAGTGACGCCTTCGGCTTAACGAGGTTGACTATGAAATAGTTTATTTAGTCAATCAATAATTGTTATCCAAGCTTCAAATATTTAAACCGTATGAAACGTATCTTTGATGATCTATTTAACAAATTTTTTTATTAAAATCAAAACCCTCTGTAATCTGATGATAATTTGGAGTTGGTAATAAATATATGGCGGAAACTGTATTTTTTATATTTAATTATTTATTATTATTAAAATCATTTTGCATGATATCATTATTCACTGCTTACGTATACCGATCTTGTTATTATATTCTTAGATGATTAATTTGAACAAAAATCAAACAAAGCAATATTGGAGGATAAATATGTGACAAAGATTGTATTTTTTTTATATTTAACTGTTTGTTAAATAATTTTTTCATGACATTATTATTAATTTCATACAATATTTTATATCTTATATTTAATATTTATCAAGTCACTTTTACGTAACGTTGATTTTTATCATATACTATCTTGTTATATTTTTAGATGATCCAATATATCAAGTCCTAATTAAAAAGTTGCAGATAAGCATGAGGCGAAGACTATAACCTTATATTTGATTATTGATTGTTTTACACGTTCATACTATACATGAAGTCGAAATGGTCGAAATCATGACATATCACATGAGAACCAGTGATCCAACTTTAATGAAACACGGCTGATCATAATAGTCTCATAAAGGCAGCATTGATAAATAATGAGTTATTGTGAGATACACAGTAAACAAAAATATCTCACTAATCAGCGATCTGGATTTTATGAATTAGACATCTCATCAAGAGAATTTGAATGATAGTTGTTTTATCCAAAACGGCCAGATATTGACCGAGTTATAGTAAATTTTCTGCATGTTTCGACCATTTCGACTTTTAATTTGACTTTTGACCCTCAGGTCAAAATATTTCAACTTTTGGGCTTTAATTTCGACTTCGTATATAATTCATGGTGTTTTTGTATTTTTAAATTTATTATAATTTTCTATATATTTCAGTAACTAAAAATACGTTTTATCATCAACTTAAACACGTTTTTACAATCAAGCAAAACACGTTTTCCATTAAACAAAATACGTTTTATTCTCATATTATTTCCGTATCGATTCTATACTGATTCCGTACTTTTGATACGGGAATTGATATTAATATGGAAATTTTCATATTCCAGTACTTCCATACTAATATGTGTTTTTTATTATCTAAAATACCATATTTTCTATACATATCTTTTTCGTACTTTATTTTTTATAGGGCTATACAGCTTTGAAGTTTAATTTCTCCAGAGAAGAAAGGTCTTGGCTTTAATTAGCAATATTTCTATTTGTGACAAGATTCTCGATAGACTTATAAGACCTTGTGAGAACTCGGTGTAATTCTAGAAAGTTGTATCGGAGTTAAACAGCGCAACTTTATGGAATTCACAGTAATATGTTGTTGAATTAATAACAAGTTTTTAATAAAATAAGAAAATTAATGCGTTCCAGCCATACCAGCAGTAGTGTTGGTTTCCGAAACAATAGGGCCTCGCAACTGTGCGATAGTACACAAGTTGAAATTGATTTTGGCTTTTGATTTTTGATTTAGTTTTGGCTTTCACCCCTTCAAAATATTTTTGACGACTAACACTAACCAGCAGCAAAGTCAAATTGAACAGCCTACACTATTGTCAAGTTCATAAACATCAAATCACCAATATCATCAACAACCGTAAATAACCAACAAACCTATCTGATTTTAGAGTTTTCAATCATCAGATATTCAACAGTCTTATCCGGGTTGGATATTCGAGGCGGGCATATTTGTCATCATTATATAAAGTTACCTAATATAAACTCTCTAATTACACAAATTGTCTCTTCTATTCTCTAACATTTGCGCAAAAATGTATATCAGAAAGAGTTGTCAAGTTAGTGATAAATATGAACTATATGAGAACAAAAAAGAAATCAACATTAATGAATCAGATATACTTTATGAAGAGCCTGGAGAAAACGAAGTTACTAGCTCTAACTAGCTACTTAATACTCAAAGAAAACGATCCAAATCTAAAAAGAAATAGAAGAAGAACTTGAAGCTCCAAAATGATTCTTCCGAATTATTTCCAATTGTAGAAATACTAAACAATCCATCCACTCTTTCTAGCTGGATGCGGAAATGGGCCAACAATTTAAAGATGAAGATTATACAATATTTACCTAGTGAACAACTTTTTTCCCATGTAGGTTTGATTATAAATGAAAATGATCGCAACACTACCATAGATTCGTTGAAATTGATGTTTGGCTGTATCTTGACTTAACTAACTGTTAATTTTAACTATCCTCATACCCAATCCGAATATTTCCCGGAAGATGAAATTATTTTTGACCAATAAGGGTATTTCTACTATTCAAAATCATGTATAATTACTTGTTACTTGCAAGATTTTCTCTTGTGACATTAGATGTATCGCCAGTATCAAAACCTTCATTGTATTCAGCCTCATTAAATGATTCATAAAATTTACTCGTTACATTCATTGTTACAATGCTTGTTTTCTGATAAAACTTTTCTTTTATTCAAGTTTCAAGTAACAAATTTGTGTATTCTACGAATTCTTTATTTTTAAAAATTTTATGAATTTTATGGTTAACAAAGAATGTAGGTGGAGAAGCTACAAGGTGAACATTATTGTACCAATTAATTGTGTGATTTCTTCATACAAAAAAAAAAACAAAAGAAAAAATTGTTGTTGCTTGACATCATTAATATTAGTCAAAGAAAAGATTGATACTTTCTAGTATGGTGGTTAACCACAGTTAAATGGTAACAATGCCAACCTCTATCCCAATTACAATGTTTCTTCATCATTTTGGTTTCCATTGATTCAAAATAGATATATTTTTGTTACTTATGACTATTTTCTTCTTTAATTGTTATTTATATAGTTGGCTCAGTCTAAAGACCTCCTAAATTTTGGACAAATTTTAAAAGTATAGAAGTCATTTTCTGTCCTATCTTTTAAAAAAATAGCTCTATTAGTTGATAGAATATGTATTTAGTTTTAATATAATATTCTTTTTTAAAACATGTACTTTACTATGCTCATGAGAATTTGAGCACTAGGATCATTTCTAAATTCAGACTAGTTTTTTATCATCATTACTAAATTTAGATTAATATTCGACCATCATATCTAAATTTGGCAGCAAGATAATAATTTTTAAACCAAAATCATGTGAAACCCTTTTTTTAAAAAAATTTTATTGCATTTTTGAACGAATCACAAAATCGCATTTTGTTGAAAATTAGCGTGTGGTGCAGCAATAGGAGGTATTTAGACCAAGCTAACCATACAAAATTACAGTCAAACACACAGTTCAACAAACTTCGCATTGCAACTTTTTGGTAGCCAGTAAAGTCACGTGATAGATAAAGTAATATATAATAAGAAGTTTTTGTCAATCATGTGTAGAAATCTATTAGTTAATTATAAATTTTTCCCTAAAAATGGAATCTCACTCCTATAATTAAAAAAACATACCAACTTTTATTTCAGTTGTGCATGAAAATGAAATTTATTTGCAATACACACATGTTAAATTCAAATTAGCCAATCAGAATTTCATATCCAAACACCCACCCCAAAAATTTTAATTATACAAAATTTCCAAAAGTTATATATATTATTTATAACAAATAAGGGCTTTAATAAAAAAATGGATTTTGATAATAATAAAAAGGATAAGAAGATAATGGCTGCAATGCCCAATATAATAGTTGGAAAAAATAAAAAGTTATATATAATTTTTTATATTTTTGAGATTTATTCTGCCAAATATAAAAAAGTCTTGAAAAAAAATATGTCAATTGAGCAGATGTATGTCAATTTTACTATGTTGATTATCTCTGTAATAGATTTCCACACATGATTGGTAAATCACAAATTAAGTAAGTTTTTTATTAATCCACTAATTTCTGACAATCAACAAATATCATTGTAAAAGGTCTAGGCCCTCTCCAATTTTTTGTAAAATTATCAAAAGAATTGACATTAATAGTAGAAAACTCACAAGGAAGTATTATTGACTTTAATTTTTTTGGTAATGTTAGATTTAGTACTGAAAGTATTTTATCACCATCAAATGTATCCACAGAACCAACTTTATGAAATATAATACTTTCTAATTTAATACAATTATTGATTACTTCTGTTAACTCTTGGTTTACTTCATTGTTATAAAGTATTCTTAAGTCTACTAGATTTTTACACCATAATGCAATTGATTGAAATAGTTTTCCCAAAAATTCAATATCAATTGGATTACCATCAACATCTAGATATTTAAGAGTTTCTCCACCAATGTTAATAAAATCAGACAAGTCTGATAGAAATTGTTGCCAATAAATGCATATGTTTACAGATTCAATTTTTGGCTGTGAAATATTTTTTCAAACATTCTATTCTGAAATCACATATCAATGTTAAAGTCTTCAAATTGTTATATTCTGTTAATAATATAATGATCCATATTATTTAATCTATCACTTGCATAATAAATTATTGATTGTGAATGTGCAAGAATTGCTTTTTTGAAATTATCTGAAGGTTTATCAATGTCTAAACAAATGGTTAATTCCTTTATTTGATTCTGTGCTTTGATTAGTTGAGTCAGACTATCTTCAAATTTATTATTGTATTTACCATATATTTCTAATGATTGGATAGATTTGCAAATATTTGCTAATTTATCAATAAATTCATTACTAACATCATTATAACAAACTAATTTATTAAGATTTTGAAAACTATTATCAAATCTATGATGATTATTTACCAGATAATGAGCTATATCATAAGTATTAATCTCTCTAATAACTACTGAATGACTTAAAATAAAATTTGCTAATCTATTTTGTAAAATAACTAAATTGGAAGTGTTTGTCACCAATTGAGAACTATAATAATCGAAATAAAATCTAGTACAAAATCTAGCATAATTATATAATGGTGATTTATCCAACAGCTCAAAAGTCAATTCAATGCTATTTCTTGTTAAGGAATTCTTATCTTCTTCCAATAAACAATTAATTATTATTTTGGTGCTGTTTTAGAATAAAATGGATTTCTCCATAAAGTTGGAATATTAATATTGTGCCATAGTTTATTGACAAGAATGTAAGAATATAATGTTTTATAATCATCATCATTGTATTTAAATACTTCAGTTAAAAGCTCAGGTGGTAAAGTCATTGTAAAAAAAAATTTTGATTTTTTGTTACACGATAAAATGATTACTAAAATCAAATAAAAATAATAAATATAAAAATTTATATCAGTCAGGAAATTTATCCGCTATTACTATACCGAGTCATCCGTAATACCGAGATATCCGTAAAAAATCGAATTTTTGATTAAATCATGTGATACATGTTACGTAAAAAATTAATTTTATTTTTAATAATATGAATGCAAATAATAATGATGATAATAAAACTACAGTTGATAAAAAAAAAACAATTCATTCACTTAAAACGTTGACATTATAAAATAATCTTTCAATCTTGTTTGCACTTGTTCTTGAGAATTTTTGTAAGAAATTTCACTTTTTAATCTTTTAGATATTGATTTTCAAGTAATTAGAAATGTCAAAATTTTTTGCTGTACATATTTAAGTATAGTTTCCAGAGCTTTTATAGCTTCCATATTAATGATCATCAGCTCAAGTTCATTTGTTTCATTTGTTTCATCGTCATCAACTTCACTTTGTCCTTTTACAATATTTACGATTTTAGCATATAAAGAAATAAAAGAAAATGACATATTTATGGTGTCATTGCCAAGAAATAGCTAATTGCGTGTCATTACTCTTATTAGCCCAAAATATAAAGATCATTGTTATCCGTAATATCGAGAAAAATTTATTATAAGTGTCGATCAATAAGTTGTTTTATTAATGATCGACAACACAAAGAAAATGATAAATAAAAACACATTTTTCAAAATGCTGCTAGTCAGTGAAAAAGAGAGATATTATTTCCAAATTTGAGTATGGAATAGTACAGTATATTTAGTTTATCAATACAGAGAGATTTTTGAAGGTAACAAACACCATTGATGAAAAATCACCATCAACATTTGTTATATTGTGATGGGTCTTTTGGATAATTTATTTTTATTATTGATTCCTTAGAAATTCGCCATGCAATAACATTTCAATATTGGTATTACAGCAGATTATCTTCTGAATATAATTCTGGTTTTTTTTTTGTTTTTATTTCTTTTATTTATTATTTTTTTTAAAATGGTAAAAGTCTTTGACTGCACTCAACTTTTAGAAGATAGCAAATTAATTATATTGTGTGATTTTTAGTAATTCTACAATGAATCCACGAATGATTTTAAGCTTAATTCTGTTGCTTTACTAATTTTACTAATTGAGTCATCAACTAATGGAATGCTACCAATTTGTAGTAAAAGTTATTGTGATTAATTATATTAATTATATGGATATTATTTATAACATTATATTTCATCTATTCATAATTATTAGATTATTTTTATAAAACCATCTCTCACTTGATTATTGTGTCAAACAGAAGAAAATAATTCTTTTTTGGTGTCAATGTTTCTTAAAGTACTTGAGTTTATGCTCAAGTGCCTCACTCAAGTTTACACCCAAGCTACTTGGAGTTGAAACTCGTGCGTCTGGATTTTACACTTGGGTGATAATCAGGGCTGGCCATGTAAGAGGCTCTAAAATCCTAATTTGGTAATTGTCACCAAATAGTTTAGTCAGTTTAGCCAAATGCTCATTTAGGGTTAAGCAGCCAGCCCTGATGATAATGAAATACCAATAAAAATCGTATTTTGACTTGCAATAATTAAAATTCTCGGAATGGTTATTTACATCAACTTTTCATGGAATTATTCTTTTGAATTTACTATATAAAACTTGAAGAATTTGAGTCAAAAGTGCTCTGTGTGTCCATGTGATGAGCTTCAAAAATGCTAAATAAAATTGGACGGTTTTAGATGACTCGAGCTATAAAAGTTATAATACTTATAAAGAATAAAAATTTATGGAAAATCAATAATAATAATAAAATTAGAAAAGTTGCACGAAATAGAAATCGAAGTACTGATCGATCTAATAAAGTCAATGTAATGAACCAATAATAATAATGATTAAATAATTAACTCGCGGAAATTATCAGAAAGATTATTCTAACATTCTAAATTGTAACATTTCTTTAATTCTCAAATTCTATTTAAACGAAGGAATTTAATCATTTGTCCACTCTAAAAATAACTCGAGAATGTTTCTACATAGAAGATTCAAATTATGTTTAAGGAATACATTAATTAGAGCAAATTGAGAGTTCTTGAAAATTAGGGAACTAGATGATTGAACCTTTAACATGTATATAAATAATGTCATAATTTTCTTAACTTCATGTATCATTATCATCACCATAAAAAATCTTTAACAATAATCATTTAATAAATATCAAATTGCCCTTGTCCTTGTCCTTGTCCTTGTTGCTGACTTCGAAATTTATATTTTCGTAATGACAATAAACCTATCTCTAACAATGAATTCACACTAATCCCGTGCATAATTAATTTCTCTTATTTTTATATTTGCTCTATTTTGTTATCATTTTTTATTTCTTTTCTTTTCTTTTCTTTTAGTGAGATAATATTTAATAAATTTTGATAAATTTTATTTAGTGAAGTTTGGGAAACGTACTTGACTTGAGCAAGAAGTAACAGAGTGAAGGTTGCACATCAAGAAACGTGATCGGGATATAGTGTGAAATCTAAAGAAGATATTGTTTGGTATTGTTTAGTAAGGAATTGTTTAACAACAGTGAAAGATAGTTTTGAGAGTGAAGCATAAATAACACATTCGCGGAAATTGTTGTTAAGATTTAGTATAAACAAATCGAAAGAAATTATATTTTTACCACAATCAAAGTAGAAAAGTGTTTAATTCGTTTTTGAAGTAATTCTTCACAAATTTTTTACATAAGAACAGCTAATATGAAAATCAAGGTCATACTTTCCTAAGTCCGAGTAGCTAGCCATGGGAAGCTTTGCAAGAAGAGGTGCATTAATGAGGCCCAACAACTGGCCAGCACGAGTTGGCAGAGTATCGAATGGCTGAATAAGGTTTTCACATAGAAACTTAGTCTTGTCAGGCACTATTGTTCAAATTATCAAAAAACTGGAGACTATCAATATTAACATATGAATCTCAGTAGAGCAAATGTTAAAAAGTACAATACCAATGCATGGTCTTTTTGGAGGATGCTCAATTTCTGCAAGTGAAACAACATTCAAAATGTTGAAATTGCAAGAGTAATAACATGCATGAATCATGAAGATATGCAAGAAAAACACAAATAAATAAATAAACGAAATGGGATGAATGGAAAATAATTTTATGTGATCTTTACCTGGTTTTTTTCTAAATCTTTCAGCTTTTGCTTCAGCATATTGACCTCTCTCCAACCCTCGCGCTCTTTATTTCCACTAAAAAGAATGATTATGGGAATAATGGCGCGAAAAAAAAACTTATTTTTATATTGAATTAATATTTGCAATATTGAACATTAATTAATTTATTGAAATAACTCTTACGTTATCGTTTTCTTTATCACCATCTTCCTCATTTACACTAGTACTAGTAAATAAAAAACAAAGTTTATAATTAACTAGAGTGATGACAAGTGGTGATAACCACCACCATCTTCCTCATTTACACTAGTACTAGTAAATAAAAAATAAAGTTTATAATTAACTAGAGTGATGACAAGTGGTGATAACCACCACCATTTTTATGATAAACACTTTTTCTTTTGCTTTTTTTATTGATAACATTTTAAGCAAAAAAAAAGGGAATTGTTATTCGCACCCCTCCCGTGACTAAGACAAAGATGAACGAATAAAATCATCACATTTTAAGGCCATTCATTGGTTACATTACTTCACTTAGTCACGGGAAGGGTGCGAATAACAATTCTCAGAATCATTTATATTTTTTTTTTGTTGACACGAATTGATTTTTTTTTTTTTTTTTGGAAAACAATTTATTTGAGTCTAAGATATTATACTTGCCGCCCAAACTACTATCCAGTCCCAAATCCTAAATCCCAAATAGGTCAAAACTATTTGGACTTTTACTCTCAAAAATGTCCCAAAGCCATACCAAATCCCAAAGCTGTTCCAAATCCCGAATCCCAAATCCCAACACAATTCTTTTATTCTGATGGTTAAAACTTTGGAAGATTACATCGTTGAAACAAAACAAAAAGTGGTTCTATAACAAATTATTAAACTTGGTGAAAACAGTAATGAATTAAAAATGAGAGTAGATAAAATTGAACATATACTGCAACATTTTAGTGGTTGCCAAATTTTTCATGTTGTGTAAAGCCAAGAAAGAAAAAATTAAAATACTGGCTCTTAGCAACAATAATACTAATAATTTATTTAATTAACAATTAACAATTTATTTAATTTATTTACATGAATTAATTAATTTCTTTTCTATTAAGATGTAATTCTACTTCATCTCAATCATCTAATTATGGTCCTTTTAGATAATTTTGTTTCTAAATGAACTTATAAACATTGAAGATGATTAATTTTGCAGCTTAAATGTCCAAATTATTGATCATATAGCAACGAGTTCTGGTGGAAAATGGATACTAGAAGTTATATTAAAAAATGATCCTTTTTAATTTATGAAAAAAATTTTTTTTGACGAATTAATATATATTACATTGATCAACCAATAAAAATAGTCATAAATACAATGTATGTACTAAAAAAATTTTAAGCTCGTACAATACGTGTACGAGTCCCATCATTAATACTAAAATCAAATAAAAAAAATAAATATAAACATTTATATAAATTTAGTTTAAAATTCTAAATCATGATCAATCCACTAATTTCTGACAATCATCAAATATCATTGTAAAAGGTCTAGGCCCTCTTCAATTTTTTGTAAAATTATCAAAAGAATTGACATTAATAGTAGAAAACTTACAAGGAAATATTATTGACTTTAATTTTTTTGGTAATGCTTGATTTAGTACTGAAAGTATTTTATCACCGTAAAATATATCCACAGAACCAACTTTATAAAACATAATACTTTCTAATTTAATACAATTATTGATTACATCAGTTAATTTCTGGTTTACTTCGTTGTTATAAATTATTCTTAAGTCTACTAGATTTTTACACCATAATGCAATTGATTGAAATAGCTTTCCCAAAAATTCAATATCAATGGGATAACTATCAAGATACAGATATTTAAGAGTTTTTCCATTGATGTTAATAAAATCAGACAAGTCTGATAGAAATTGTTGCCTATGAGCATATATCTCCACAGATTCAATATTTAGTAGTGAAATATTTTTCAACCATACTATTCTGGAATCATACATTAATGTTAAAGTCTTCAAATTGTTAAATGCTGTTAATAATATATGATCCATATTATTGAATCCATCACTTTCATAATAAATTATTGATTGTGAATGCACAAGAATTGCTTTTTTGAAATTATCTGAAGGTTTATCAATGTCTAAATAAATGGTTAATTCCTTTATTTGATTCTGTGCTTTGTTTAGTTGAGTCAGACTATCTTCAAATTTATTATTACATTTACCAGTTATTTCTAATGATTGGATACATTTGCAAACATTTGCTAATTTATCAATAAATTCATTACTAAAATTATCATCACAATAAATTAATTTATTAAGATTTTGAAAACTATTATCAAATCTATGATAATTTATTACTAGACAAGGATCTATCTTAAAAGTACTAAACTCTTTAATAACTGCTGAATGATTTAAAATAAAATTTACTAATCTATTTTGTAAAAATTTGGATTTTGTCACCAATTGAAAGCTATTATAACAGAAATCAAATCTAGTACAAAATCTAGCATAATTATATAATGGTGATTTATCCAATAACTTAAAAGTCAATTCAATGTTATTTCTTATTAAGAAATCCTTATCCTCTTCTAATAAACAATTAATTATTATTTTGGTGCTGTTTTTAGAATAAAATGGATCCCTCCATAAAATTGGAATATTAATATTGTGCCACTGCTTATTGACAAGTATGCAAGAATATAATGTTTTGTAATAATCATCATTGTATTTAAATACTTGAGTTAAAAGCTCAAATGGTAAAATCATTATTGTAAGAAAAAATTTGATTTTTTATTTGCTACACAATAAAATGATTCCCAACCAATTTAGTTTAAAAATCCTAAATCTTGATCAATCCACTAATTTCTGACAATCAACAAATATCATTGTAAAAGGTTTAGGTCCTCTCCAATTCTTTGTAAAATTATCAAAAGAATTGACATTAATAGTAGAAAACTTACAAGGAAGTATTATTGACTTTAATTTTTTTGGTAATGCTTGATTTAGTACTGAAAGTATTTTATCACCATCAAATATATCCATAAAAACAAATTCAATACTTTTTAATTTAAAATGATTATTGATTACTTCTGTTAACTCCTAGTTTACTTCATCATTGTAAAATATTGATAAGTCTACTAGATTTTTATACCATTGTGCAATTGGTTGAAATAAACTTTCCCAAAAATTCAATATCAGTTGGATCGCCATTAGCATTCAGATATTTAAGAGTTTTTCCATTGATGTTAATAAAATCAGGCAAGCTAATAGAAATGATTCCTTATAAATATATATGTCCACAGGTTCAATTTTTGGCCGTGAAACATTTTTCAACCATTCTATTCTGAAATCATATGTTAATGTTTTTTTTTTATAATAAAGGCAATATCCTGCTCATATAATTTCATTGCTCCTTTGAAACATAAATTTGACAAATTGAAGGAAGAAGGAAAAATAAGTTCTAAGCTAACCCAACACCTTTGGTCTGGCTTATGGGACAGTCTACAGAAATGGAAAATTTAAAATTGACATGATTTTGAGTTTCACATGACTCAAAGCACCCATCAACAATGTTAAATCCATCAAAAATTAAATGAATGAATGTGTCTATCATTCAAACACCCAACCCCCACCCACCATGTTATGTCAACACATTGGTATTTTGCATCTTTTTTAATTGATCTTTCTTGTCTATTATATATATTCTATATAAATTGACATCACTTTTTAACATATCTACCCAAAATTATTTATAATATTTCTTCATCTAGTTTATATTTAGCTTGAGTGTAAACTCGAGCTAGCTCAAAATTTAATATTATTTTTTATAAAATCACGATTTTACAGACATCAAAAATAATCAAATAATTATAGAAGTAAAGCAATAATAAATTGTATGGTATACAAAGTTTATAGCCACCATATGGCTAACCCACAATGGTTTTTTTTGACACAGCTTTGTGAGTCTAAATTTGGAAATAATCATTGTAACCTATACTAAAATCAAAAAAAAAGATCATTATTGTTTTAAACCTTTAATATCAACAGAAAATATTATTAAGTGGACATAGTTTCCAAGTTAAAATTAATCCTTGTGTTGAATTACATATAGATAATGTTTGTAATTATCCCTGTTTCTATTGTCATACCTTGTTTACTTTAATGGAAAAATTTATAGTTTCTAAGCTGAAATTAATCCTTGTGGTGTGAACTGCATGTAGAAATGGTGTTAATGATTAATTTCCCCCATTACTATTGAGCAAAACTGGCTGGGAAACATAATAAATTTTTGGGTGACAAGCCTTATATTTCATTGCTGTACCAAGTAAACTGGGTCTAATGTTTTCACCAATTATACTGTATATAGCTCATATATTATAGATTAATATCATGTAAAAAACTTATATTTGGTCAGAGGACCTCGAAACCATAGTAAGATCCTAACTAAAAGAAAAAAACTTGGATTATTAAACAGAGATTGGATGAATTTATTAAATGTGAACCAATGACAATAGAACTAGAACATAAGGATGTTCTAAACTTTGATGCAAGACAATTTCCTTAGATGAACAATAATTGGCCCAGAAAATGGATCTGAATTATCATCTGACAATGAATTAAATGATAAAGCTATACTTTTGAGGGCGATTTTAACTAAGCAAGTTCTTGCTCAAAAACCTATTATTAACTCTAATCACACGAATCACATGAATTACTGGAAATTCCTATTAATATAAATTTTGCCTAGTGATGCAAGCAATAGGTTTGATTTTTCTTTGGCCAACTTTACTGTTTTGTGGTTATCAACCATATGATAGAGATAATTTCATTTTTAAGAGCCAATTATTGTATGTCACAAACAAATAAATGTGATTACTCTGAAGAAAAAATTGTAGAAATTAATTGAATTATAAAGTTAAAACATTGTCGTGTTTTTTTTTTAAAAAAATAAATAGTTTTTTTTTTTTTTTTTTTTAGAAAAATCTACAAGACTTTTTAAATTTATTAATAATTTATTAATTAATCAAACAAAAGCGAATCATCTTAATTATCTGATAACAAAATATTCAAAAATCTATTTATATAAGAAAAAAATTAGAATTAAAAATCAGTACAGAAAATAACAACAACAGCAACAACAATCATAATAATAATTTATTATCACATACTTTTCTGATGCCTTGGTACTAGCCTTTGCTTGACGTTTACTCTTTTGGATTTTACCAGATTTCAATTTTTCAGCACGTATGATTTCACCTCTTTTCAATATTTTAGCATAAGGATTAAGACGAATCATGACACCATTGTTACGTAATGGATTCTTCTTTTGTGTATATGGTCGTTTTGTGTGTTTCTCTCTTGCTGGTCTTAGGATTGATTGGATTTCATTAGAGTTGATGAGACGTGTTACATCAGAATTGGATATGATATGTGATGGTAGACTAATAATTGCATAAATAATATACATGTGTGTGTTATTAAAAATAAAATTATAAATATCAATAATTTTTTTATAATAATAATGATAATAGCAATAATAATAATAATTTAGTACCGATAATCCTTCTTCATAGAAGAAGATCTTCTATAGGTGCCAAACAAACAATCCAACAAAGCAAAAGCACTTCGAGACCAGATAATAAATCTACCTAAATGACCACCTGGTGCTAATTGTAATAAATTCAAACTTCTAACATTAACTACTTCAACACCAGGAATATTACGAAATGCATTAACAATTCCCTTATCAGTATTATAAACAATAAGAGGTCCTCTACGTTGTCTGTGACGCCTATTACGCATTTTCCCCTTGCCAGCCCTCAATTTACGAGAATTGGATACTTTAGTAATATCTCGATAAGCATTAACTGCTTTAAGCAATTGGACTGCTGCTTTTGTCTTCTCCAATGATTCAATACCATCACCTATCACCAATGGAACTTCTTGAATCTCTTCAATCCTATGTCCACGTGCTAAAACTAAAGCTGGAATTGATGATGCTGCTAATGATGATGCGATGGCATATCTTTTTTGATTTAAATTGGTTTTAACATGCCACTTACGCCAAGTTTTTGTAGGTGAAAACATACGTCCTCCACGACACATATTACCAAAAGCTCCCTTAATTAATTAATTAATTAATTAATAATAATAATAATAACAATAATATATTAATATATTAATATTAAATGAAAATTATTTATAATTTTGATTGATTAAATAATATTGTATCATCATCAACATCATGTAATATATTATTTACCTGACCAGCACGATGTGTTCCGCCTCCAGATACACGAGGGATACGTGCTACAGCACGACCAGTACCCCAAGACTCAGCAGATGTTTGATGACCAGCCTTTGATGAGACAGCATAAGGTTGACGATTATTTTTTGAAATATTGGTGTGAACTACTCTAACAATATCAGGTCTAATAGGTGCTTTAAACACTGCTGGTAGTGTAATATTCTCGATACTACTGTCACCTGCCTCAGAGTAAACAGTGATCTTGGGTCTAATTGTTGCTGACTGAATAAATTAGTAAATAAATAAATAGATAATTATTATTTTTTTTTTTTGTAGAAATTTATTTAATTTGATTTTTAATGTCAAATGAATGAAAAAAATTCTTCGATCAGAGGTGTATTATAATTATTCAACTAACTTACCATTTTTTTTTTATTTAATAATAATTTAATTCTTGAAAAAAAAAAAATTTTTTTATTTGGTTGATTATCAATTGGCCGTGTAACAATAATGTGTTTATTATTATAAAATATAAAAAAAATTATATATGATATGAATAAAAAGTATATATTTTAGATTTATGACGAAAGAAAAAAAAGACAAGAACAGAATTCTTCAAATATGGCCTTCTGTAAAACTCCAAAGAGCGGTTTTTTTAAAAAAAAATTTTTTGGATAATACAAACCTCCAATAAATTCTTCGCATTTTATAAGACCATAAGTATATTTTGTCCATATGATTTTGATTGATTGGTTAATTGACTAATAGTTTCTTACATGCCTATATATATATATTTGATCCAGAACAAAATATATCCAGTGTGTTGAAAATAAAAAATTTGTGTGAGCTACATAATTTGAGTTTCAAGCAAGCAAAAAAGACTTTATATCTCCCCCCAAAAAAATTGCCCGGAAATCCTTGTAATATGTATAATTAATATATATATATATACACTCTCTCTTTTTTTAAAAAAATTAAATACAAAAGATCACTTTTGCCAGTTCCGAGCAAAGTCTCGATAACAAGTCATCTCCCATGATCCAGAATAAACAATAATGATGACACGCAAACAATGAAATATATGATGAAAAAAGACTAAAACTGGACTAGTAGCAATAGTAACAGTGATAATAAAATCACATTACAATCATATATAATATAGCATCCTTAAAACATACCCATATGGACTTAGACTTCTTCTATAATCATAATCATAAGGACTTGAACTGCGTCTATATGAACCTTTTGATTGATTTCTTGGTGGTGATCTGTTGTAGCCGCCATTGTTATTATCAGGACTATCATAAGGTGGCGGTGATCTAGAATGACGACTATAACAATCATGATCTTGGTCCCGACCTCTGACATGATCGTAATCTTGGTTGTGATCACGATCTCTATCACGATCACGATCATCATAATAAGAGTCACCATGTGAATGATAGGAAGATCGATTTCTTCCGTATCTAGAAGAATGACTTCCACGATCATAATCACCACCACCACGACCTCCTCTAAAAATTATCAAATTTTATTTATAAAATTATTAAATACACAGAACGTTTAATAATAATAAATAATTTTTTACCTGCAATATTTTGCTAGATGGCCTGTTTCACCACATCGAAAACACTTTCCACTCTTAACATCCATACCTTTTTCCCTAGCATCAGAACATTCTCTGGCCCAATGACCTTGCCCACCACATAAAAAGCAACCACTTCCAGGTCCACCAGACCTACGTGACCATTCTACAGTGATCCTTGCACCATCCAATTCATAACCATTTAATTGTTTTACTGCATCATCAGCATCACGTGGATCCTAATGTATATTAGATCATTGTTTATTAATATTCCAAGAACTCCAAAAACACATCAAAAATTTCTTAAATATAATTATTATTAACTTCAAATTCAACAAATCCATAGCCCATAGGTTTAACATCTACACTAATAACTTTTCCATATCTTTCAAACTGTCATATCATGTTTTAATCAGTTATTAATTAGTTTCTTTTTTTTTTAAATAAATTCACTAATGATATTTATTTACCAACTCCTCTAGATCTCTTTTTTCTGTTCTTGAGGAAAGATGTCCTATATAAACTTTATAGAAAAAGTAAATATCAATAAATTAAATAATGAGCAACTAAAATTCTACTCGATTTAGTATAATTACATAATTAACATACGTTTGCTTGTAGTCATTATTTCAATCTCAAAAAAATAAAAAAAAAAATATAATGAATATAATGATATCAAATATAGTGAAAATGGTGTAACGAGAAATTTATTTGTAAAAAAAGTACATGGAAATTATGTGAAATTGAAATATATAAAGTAAATATGTAAAAACTACATAAAACTAATTTATAAACTTGCTAAATTCTCTCATCTAGTATCAACTAATTCCTCAAAGAATATATGTTATTATTGGATATTCCGAAAAAACCTATTTTGTTAGAATAAAGCCACTATATTCTTTTCTTGTTTTTAACTTTGTAATTGTTATCTCTAATATTCGAAAAAAAGTCTTATTGTGAATTCCATTTCCTAAAAGTGCTGAAGAATGAAATATTGTGTATATATCATATTTGCAAACAGCCCTTTGAAAATTTTCATATGATAACGACAAGAGGCGATTATCATATTATCCAAATTCAAGGATGTGAGAGGTAATTTTACTTCCCAGAACAAAGATCCCCTTTGGTATGTTGAATTGACATACACGGAGAGAATAAGACGTGTATTTTTTGAAATCAATATCATTTTGTATATACACGATTTTTTTGGAAGAAACAAACTTTTCCAAAATTTAGGTAAATGAGATGTTTTTAAAATTTTTTTTACCAAAATCAGTGATACAATAACATGTTGTAGAAATGTGTTCTTTCTCAAATAAAATCAATATTTTCTTGACAAAGCTGTTTTTAAATACAAAGAAAGACCTTGTTTTTAAAAACACTGGAATATTGTAGGAAAAATATTTCTGTAAATCGATTTTCACGTGATTAAAATGAAAGTGTAAGTTTCCTATAGCAGTTCATATTAAATACTAATACTGTATATAATAATAATAACACATTAATTGTTCGTTGAAGATTCTTCATTTTATTGTAGAACTTGTCTATTTTATTTATTTATTTTCTTGGCCAAACAAGTGAGATTTAATTTCGTGTATATATGCATAATAAATAATAGGGATTCATTTTTTAGACCATTTATATCCGCGTTCAATGTTACACTGGATAACGAAACTTTGTGCCATATGACTATAAATGATAATGCAGAGAAATTAAATGATTGCTTTTGTTGAATTTGAGGTTAATAATAATAATTATTATTTTACGAGTTTATATTAAGAAATTTTTGGCATGTTCTTTGAATATTAGTAAACAATTATTACATGATCTAAAAACATATACACTAGGATCCACGCGATGCTGATGATGCAGTAAAACAATTAAATGGTTATGAATTGGATGGCGCAAGGATTATTGTAGAATGGTCACGTAGGTCTGGTGGACCTGGGAGTGGTTGTTTTTTGTGTGGTGGACAAGGTCATTGGGCCAGAGAATGTTCTGATGCTAGAGAAAAGGGTATGGATGTTAGAAGTGGAAAATGTTTTCGATGTGGTGAAACAGGTCATCTAGCAAAATATTGCAGGTAAATAAATTATTTTTATTATTAAACATTTTGTGTATATTTAATGATTTTATAAATAATTTTTAGAGGAGGTGGCGGTGATTATGATCGGGGAGGTCAATCTTCTAGATACGGAAGAAATCGATCTTCTTATTCACATGGTGCCCCTCATTATGATGATTATGATCGTGACCGTGACAGAGACAGTAACCGAGATCGTGATCATAACCAAGATCATAATCGTGACAGAGGCCGTGACCGGGATCATGACCGTTATAGTCGTTATTCTAGATCACCACCACCTTATGAAGGTTCTGATAATAATAATAATGCTGGTTACAACAGATCATCAAGAAATCGATCACGAAGTTCATATAGACGCAGTTCAAGCCCTTATGATTATGATTATAGAAGGAGTCCAAGTCCATATGGGTATGTTTTAAGAATGCTACTATATATGAGTGTAACATGATTTTATTATTATATTTCATTGTTTGTGTATCATCATCTCATCTAGATTATTGTTTATTCTGGATCATGGGAGATGACTTGTTATTGAGACTTTGCTTGGAACTGGATTCATTGTGGCAAAAGTGATCTTTTGTATTTAATTTTTTTTTAAAAAAAAATTTATATGTATATATACATATGTATATATATATATCACAAGGATTCCAGTCAATTTTTTTGGGGGGGAGATATATTGGGCATATTAGAGTCTCTTTTGCTTGCTTGAAACTCAAATTATGTAGCTCACACAAATTTTTTGCTCTTTTGTATTTTCAACACACTGGATATATTTTATTCTGGATCAAATATATATATATATAGGCATGTAAGAAGGCATTAATCAATTAACCAATCAATCAAAATCATATGGATAAAATACTCATCAATAATAAATGGCCTTATAAACGAGAAGAATTTATTGGAGGTTTATATAATGCAAAAAAACTTTTCTTTAAAACCGCCCTTTGGAATTTTACAGGAGGCCAAGCTTTGAAGATTTGCATCCTTTATCTTTTTTTTGTCATAAATCTGGAGTCAGTAATTTTATGATTAAATATTTTTTTTTATATATTATATACATTTTTTTATTAAATATATATTCATACATACATAACTTATGGAAAAAATATGCTAGTTTTTGATGCTTTACCTAAAATTTTCATATGACCAGGGTTAAAATTTTACTCGTTTAATGGGCAGCAATAAAATGAACATTACTATTATGATAAAATTTTAACTTAATTGCGCATTTACAATATTAATTTCATGCATGTCAATAAAACCAAACTGTTAGAAGTGAAGGCACCAAAATCAATAGTAATATTCGTCCAAAAAAATACCTTGATCAAGCAGTATTTGCATTAATTTAATCCAAACGGGAAAGCAAAAGATAAGATGATTTTTAGGCTTCGCGAGTAAAATTAGTGGTAATTAAAATAAATTTCGATAAATCCACTTCCTTGCTAAATAGTTCAATTTTTTGGTTCTTCCTCAAGTGCTTGATTTTTGTCAATTTCTAAAAGCAAATGGGAAATTCACTTGCTTCAATAAGCTCTTTATTATGAGGATCATTATAAATCCCTTTAATTTTTCTTTCAATAAATCCTGGTTTTTCGATATTGTGTTTATTAAAGCCGTTTTGTTCTTTTAGCTCTTTATTTTGCTCTATTTCTGATCAAATTCTTGATCAGCAAACAAACAGGCATGGGAGAAATCTTTGATTTTAAACTCTTTGTCCTCTTTTTCTCCCGATTTTTTCTGCCACACTTTATATATTTTTTCTACGGCTTCAACTATTCTATTCATCATAATCTTTATTTATTTCTCTTGCTTATATTTCTCTCTAATAAAAATTTCAAGTTATTGATAAAATCAAACAAACACCAAAAGAAGGAGCAAAAAGTAAATGATGCTGTCAACTTAATTTAAAATCCACAAATCATTATAATCTCAAGAGCAAACTGATTGATGCAAATCGCCGTGAGAGAGGATTTGAGAAGGCATTGCTTTGATATTCTCACCTATCAGAGACTTTGTTTAGTTCATCTCCTTCATCGATGGGGTTAGAACATGGAGATTAATCTGCATGGTGAGCTTCAAGCTTGTTTCGACTCTATGCACAATAACTGGGCTGAAGAAACCTTTCTCGTTACAAGTAATTTTCAACTAACGCCTAGAAACAAGCAACCATAGAGCAAGGTGTTGTTTAATATTAATATTGGCTTGTGATATTTGATAACTATGAAATCGATGCGTATCACATTAATATCAAGCTATCGTTGCAATCATGTTGGGATCTTTGTAGAGACGGTTCTATCCGTAATAGAAATTCTACACGTCTTGAAGGATATTGTTTTCATTGGAAAACTAGAATGTCATACCTGTGGAAAATCAACCGGTTTTGCTCTAGGATTGTATTGGAGGGTACTATATTGGTCAATGTTACAAAAGACTCATATAAGAGAAAGAATTGCCCTATTCTGGTTCGGCTTCGGGAACACCCTCGTGAATGGCTCGATTTCTCCTCTTGTGAAGAAAGGAAGGCATTCACTTGTCAGAATCCTCCCACAGTTCGCATGAATGTTATCTAATTGATAGTAACAGGATAAAATCATATTTTTGTTTTAGATATTGTAAAAAAATAAATTAATTGGGGTGTACTGTAATAAAACCAACTACCAGCTATAGCAAAGGTTTGATTCGCCGGAAGTTTCAATAAGGATTTGATCTGATCCTTTTTTATCTTGTTGAAAGTTTGCTTGATTTAAGGTAGACAGACTGACTAGTTAATTAAATTACCCTGTATATTATATATTTGTGGAATGGTTCGTGTAACTAAATCACGTTCAAGTTTAATACATACTCGTGTGTAACCATAAAATTTTTTTTTAAAAAAAATGAAGAATTTATCATTTTTTTCGCATTACAATAACAAAATTTCATTAAAGAAAATCCATTCAATTAAATCATTAATAATTAATTATAATAATCAACAACAATTTAAGTCTATTATAAGATCAACTTTTTACACATCCACCCTCGTTCCTTCTTCTTGTAGTACCATTTCACCGCCTCCGCTTCCTCCTTCTAATAAAAACATAAAGATTATATATAATGGACCGTTTTCTCAAGCAATTAAACGATTAAAAGTTTTCTCGATTTCATCTTTAGTTGCAACCTTTTCAATTACGCCTTTAATTTTTCTAGTAGATTCATCAATTGATCTAGTTCCTAGAATTGCGTTGGCGACAATAAGTAACCAATTAATTAATCAATTATAGAAATGTACGTGTGTTCTTTGGTTTTTAATTTAATAATATATATATATATATATATATTCTTAGCGACGACGACAAGTTTGACTTCAACTCTACTTATCAATTGGTGTACTTCAACTTATGTTAAGGAAATATTCTATACACCATTATCTTCACCTTCGTCTTTCGAATCATCGCCTTCTTCTCCCACATCTACGCCATCAATTAATGATAATAATAATAATGAAGAAATCAAAGATTCAATTCTACTTCAACCAAATACTCCAATAACTTTCG